AAACATTATGCATACCCAAAGTGCAAAATCGTGTTCTCAAGAATGTAGTTTGACCAAAAAAAAAGAATGAGAGACAGCCATGGAAGCCTCATTATCAGACACTAACACACATCCATTTGAGGCTCGAGGACGCACGAACGTGAACACGGACAAACACATCACTCGAAAAAAAAACGGACAAACAAAAACCCAATACGACAATGAAAGCGAGAACTGAAAGTCAAACACGCGGAAAAAAACGGACAAACAAACCCCAATACGACATGAAAGCGAGAACGGAAAGTCACGACACAATCGAGGAACACGCGCGCCGCCAAAGGAACATTGTCAACATTGTGAACGAGATCTGCAACCAGAGATTGCAAGGTATTAATGTGTGTTCAGTGCCAATATTCCCTTCATTAAGAGACACCGCGATAGCTTTCATGCTGATATCGGAGAATCTCTTTCACTTGGAGCGCCATTGCGTGGCATCTCTGGCTCTTTGTCTTTTATCATTACTGTGACGTATTTCTGCGCTTGGCTCCTTCTTCCTCATCCTCATTGCGACTTATTCCCGTGGGTGGTTTCTTATTCATTATCAGTCTGTTCCTGTGAGTGATTCTTTATTCATATTTATTCGCCTAACGCATTGAATTGCTCCTTATTCATTAGCTTCAGTCTAACTTATTCCCCTGAATGGTTCCATATTCATTATCAGTCTGTTCCTGTGAATGATTCCTTATTCATTATTATTCATTATCTTTATTCATTAGTTTCAGTCTAGCGTACTCCTGCAAATGGTTTCTCATTCATTATTATTTAATTCAACGTATCCCTGGGGTTTCTCAGGGGCGTCACTAAAAAAAAATAAAATAATAATAAAAAATAAAATAAATAAATAAATAAATAAATCGTGGATCACCCCATGCAGCGGCCTTTAATTTAATTGATTTAAATCTAATTAATTTAACGTATTCTGGGGTTTCTTCAGGGCGTCACTAAAAAAAATAAATAAAAAAAAAAAATCCTGGATCACCCCCATGCAATTTTAATTTGATTCAATCTAATTAATTTAACGTATTCCTGGTTTCTCAGGGGCGTCACTAAAAAAAATAATAATAGAAAATAAATAAATAAATAAATAAATAAATCGGGATCACCCCCATACAGCGACCTTTAATTTAATTTATTTAATTTAATTAATTTAACGTATTCCTGGGGTTTTCTCAGGGGCGTCACTAAAAAAATAATAATAATAGAAAATAAATAAATAAATAAATAAATAAAATCGTGGATCACCCCCATACAGCGACCTTTAATTTAATTAATTTAATTTGATTAATTTAACGTATTCCTGGGGGTTTCTCAGGGGCGTCACTACAGAAAATAATAATAATAATAAATAAATAAATAAATAAATAAATCGTGGATCACCCCCATACAGCGACCTTAATTTAATTAATTAAATTATTTAACGTATTCCTGGGTTTCTCAGGGGCGTCACTAAAAAAAATAATAATAATAGAAAATAAATAAATAAATAATATATAAATCGTGGATCACCCCCATACAGCGACCTTTAATTTAATTTATTTAATTTAATTAATTTAACGTATTCCTGGGGTTTCTCAGGGGCGTCACTAAAAAAAAAAATAATAATAATAAATAAATAAATAAATAAATAAATCGTGGATCACCCCATACAGCGACCTTTAATTTAATTATTTTAATTTAATTAATTTAACGTATTTCCTGGGGTTTCTCAGGGGCGTCACTAAAAAAAATAATAATAATAAAAAAATAAATAAATAAATAAATAAATAAATCGTGGATCACCCCCATACAGCGACCTTTAATTTAATTAATTTAATTTAATTAATTTAACGTATTCCTGGGGTTCTCAGGGGCGTCACTAAAAAAATAATAATAATAAAAAATAAATAAATAAATAAATAAATAAATCGTGGATCACCCCCATACAGCGACCTTAATTTAATTAATTTAATTTAATTAATTTAACGTATTCCTGGGGTTTCTCAGGGGCGTCACTAAAAAAAAAAAAAAAAAAATCCTGGATCACCCCCATCGCAGCGGCCTTTTAATTTAATTAATTATTATTAAATTTAATTTAACGTATTCCTGGGTTTCTCAGGTTCACTAAAAAAAAAAAAATAACAAAAATCCTGGATCACCCCCATTGCCAGCGGCCTTTAATTTAATTAATTCAATTTAAATTAAAACGTATTCTGGCGGTTTCTCAGGGGCGTCACTAAAAAAAAAAAAATAATAAAAAATCCAATACTCAGTGGATGACCCCTTGAAAGCCGGCGATCTTAAACCTTAATCAGTGGATTTTATGAAGAAAATGCGGTTCTGGAAAGATCTATAGAAGAAATACATTGAGAAAGAAATACATTGAGAAGAAAATACATTGACTTCATTATTAATTCAAGGGATTCTAATGACTATCTTGAATATGTTTAACTATGTCCTTGCTTTCCTACTGATTTTTTTTTTTTTTTCTGAAGCCACACGTCCCTTTTTTCCATATCATTTTATCTTTATCCTTAATCATCTCTGTGACATTATCATCCTCCTTATCTTCTTTGCAACTTTATCATCATCATCTTTATCATTTCTGCGACTTATTTGTGACTGTTTCTTTATCAAATAATATTACCGTGATTTTTTTTTCCTTTGGTTTGCTAAGGAAGCTTCAACAAACAAAAGCGAGAATGCATTTTTAGCTGAAGTTGTTTGATCGTCAGAGAGAACTTGTTGTGTGTGTGTTTTTGTTGTTGTTGTTGTGTGTGTGTGTGTTGTGTGTGTGTGTGTGTGTGTGTGTGTGTGTGTGTGACTGTGTGTTGTGTGTGTGTGTGTGTGTGGTGTGTGTGTGGGTGTGTGTGTTTTGTTGTTGTTTGTGTGTGTGTTTTTTATTTTGTTGTTGCTGTTGTTGCTGTTGTGTGTGTGTTGTGTGTTTTTGTTGTTGTTGTTGTTGTTGGTGTGTGTGTGTGTGTGTGTGTGTGTGTGTGTTTGTTTTGTTGTTGTTGTGTGTGTGTGGTGTGTGTGTGTTTTTGTTGTTGTGTGTGTGTGTGTGTGTGTGTGTGTGTGTGTGTGTGTGTGTGTGGTGTGTGTGTGTGTGTGTGTGTGTGTGTGTGTGTGTGTGTGTGTGTGTGTATGTGGTGTGTGTGTGTTGTGTGTGTGTGTGTTGTGTGTGTGTGTGTGTGTGTGTGTTTTGTTGTTGTTGTGTGTTGTGTGTTTTTTTTATTTTTGTTGTTCTGTTGTTGCTGTTGTTGTGTGTGTGTGTGTTTTTTGTTGTTGTGTTGTTGTTGTGTGTGTGTGTGTCTGTGTGTGTTTTGTTGTTGTTGTTGTGTGTGTGTTGTGTGTGTGTGTGTGTGTGTGTGTGTGTGTGTGTTGTGTGTGTGTGTGTGTGTGTGTGTGTTGTGTGTGTGTGTGTGTGTGTGTGTTGTCTCTCTGCTTGTTTGTCTTCGTAATTGATTTGCTTTTATACCTGTGCCCTTCTATGTGTGTCATCGTCAGCATCTCTCACACCCAAACCACAAACCAAATACACACACCAAAAAATAAATCAATGAATAAAAAAAAAGAGAAAAACGAGAACCTAGGCCTACCCCTACCCCCACCCCCGTCTCAGCCCCAGAAGCCCCCCCCACCCCCGTCTCCACCCCCATCCCCCCCCAGAAGCCCCCCACCCCCAGCATCCCCCCTCCCAGAAGCCCCCATCCCACCCAGAAGCCCCCCACCCCCGTCCCCACCCCAAAGCCCCCCCACTCCCGTCCCACCCCAGAAGCCCCCCTACCCCCGTCCCACGCCCGGAAGCCCCCCACCCCCGTCCCCACCCCCACCAGGAGCCCCCACCCCCATCCCCACCCAAAAGCCCCCCAGAAGCCCCCCGCCCCCGTCTCCAATCCCCGTCCCCATCCCAGAAACCCCCCAGAAGCCCCCCCAGAAGCCCCCACCCCCATCAGGAGCCCCAACCCCCCACCCCCACCCCCGCCGGTCACCTGGAGCTCGCCGGCCGGAACCACCGTGACGACCAGGAGGCGGTAGCGGGTGGGTCGGTGGACGTGGCGCACCTGTCCCCACCCCAGAAACCCCCCAGAGCCCCCCACCCCCGTCCCCACCCCAGAAGCCCCCCACCCCCGTCCCCAATCCCCGTCCCCACCCCAGCAGCCCCCAGAAGCCCCCCACCCCACTCCCCCACCCAAATCCCCCAGGAACCCCCACTAGGATCCCCACCCCCACCGGTTACCTGGAGCTCGCCGGCCGGAACCACCGTGACGATCCAGGAGCGGAGCGGGCGGGTCGGTGGACGTGGCGCACCTGTCCCCACCCCAGAAACCCCCAGAAGCCCCCCACCCCCGTCCCACCCCAGAAGCCCCCCACCCCCGTCCCCAATCCCCGTCCCCACCCAGCAGCCCCCCAGAAGCCCCCCACCCCACTCCCCCACCCAAAAATCCCCCCAGAACCCCCCACTAGGATCCCCACCCCCCACCGGTTACCTGGAGCTCGCCGGCCGGAACCACCGTGACGACCCAGGAGGCGGTAGCGCGGTCGGGGACGTGGCGCACCTGTCCCCACCCCAGAAACCCCCAGAAGCCCCCCCCCGTCCCCACCCCCAGAAGCCCCCCCACCCCCGTCCCCAATCCCCGTCCCCACCCAGCAGCCCCCCAGAAGCCCCCACCCCACTCCCCACCCAAAAATCCCCCCAGGAACCCCCCACTAGGATCCCACACCCACCGGTTACCTGGGAGCTCGCCGGCCGGAACCACCGTGACGATCCAGGAGGCGGTAGCGGGCGGGTCGGTGGACTGGCGCACCTGTCCCCACCCAGAACCCCCCAGAAGCCCCCCACCCCCGTCCCCACCCAGAAGCCCCCCCACCCCGTCCCCAATCCCCGTCCCCACCCCAGCAGCCCCCCAGAAGCCCCCACCCCACTCCCCCACCCAAAAATCCCCCAGGAACCCCCCACTAGGATCCCCACCCCCCACGGTTACCTGGGAGCTCGCCGGCCGGAACCACCGTGACGATCCAGGAGGCGGTAGCGGGCGGGTCGGTGGACGTGGCGCACCTGTACTCGCCGCTGTCCTCGGGCAGCACCTGGAAAGGGAGTCGAGAGGGTTAAGGTGAGAGAAGGAGGGGTTTTAGGGGAGGGAGAATCTGTTGGGAGGATTAAGGATTTTAGGTGAGGAAGAACCTGTTTTGAGGATTAAGGGTTTTAGGTGAGGAAGAACCTATTGAAAGGATTAAGGGTTTTAGGTAAGGAAGGACACAGTGAAAGGATGATGGGTTTAGGGTGAGGCAGAATCTTGTAAGATGATCAGGGTTTTAGGGTAAGAAGAACATATTGAAAGAATTAAAGTTTTTGGATGAGGAAGAATCAAGTGAAATCATTAAGGATTTAGCTTAAGGATGAACCCTGCAAAGTGATTAAGGGTTTAAATGGGTAAGAACACAACGAAATAATTAAATATCATAGGGTGAGGGAAACCCCAATGAGATTATTATAGATTACTAAATAAGATTGTTAGGGTCGTTAGACTAAATAAGATTGTTGGAGTCGTTAGGTGAGCAAGAGGCGCGATAAGGGGATAAGAGTGTCACCCTTCCACTCCTTTTTAATTACGGGGTCAGAGAGGTCACCGAAGAGATGTGACCTCTTCCCTCCGTCGCCTCCTCTCGTCGGCTAGATCTCCATGGTGATTTCCCCAACTTTTCCCTCCACTATCGCTTTTGATCCTCCCTTCCCTCGTAGGTCGAGGAGCTTCGGTTCTTATTATTCTCCCTCGGGTATAATTTCTCTCTCTCTCTCTCTCTCTCTCTCTCTCTCTCTCTCTCTCTCTCTCTCTCTCTCTCTCTCTCTCTCTCTCTCTCTCTCTCTCTCTCTCTCTCTCTATACGTACGAAATCTATTGCAGTCCCTTTATTCCCCTTCGCGTATAAACATTTTTTCTCTCTTTTCTCATTTTTTTTCTCTTCCATACGTACGAAATCTATTGCAGTCCCTTTATTCCCCTTCGCGTATAAACATTTTTTCTCTCTCTTTTTTTTTTTTTTTTCTCTCTTCCATATGTACGAAATCTATTGCAGTCCCT